GGGGGCGGGGAAGAAAAAAGCCACTGCTTTTAGTTAAGAGAGCTTTTTGGTCAGGCTTTCTGACCCTGACACCACGTATGTGCTATTGTTTCCAACTGCATGAAGCCATTTCGCTGGGCACCCAGTGAGCTGAGAGAGGTCATTGTAATTCATAACAGGGAAGGCTGTTGTGAGTATCACCCTATTATGATACACATCTTCTCTGAATTTAATTTATAGGAAAACATGCGCTGCATAAATTCAGGAAATAATCTCCATATGTTCTGTGCTGCAGCCCTCAGCCACTCCGCAGGCTGCAATATATCCCGATTAGGCACTGACCACTTTGCTGGCACTATCATAATGTATGTCATGTAGCTAATGTGCTGCTCTTGGCTGAGAGTGGAGAGCTACAGATCCCTAACGGAGCACTCAATGAATCACAGCCCGTTCCCCTGCCACCGCCACTGACCCCCAGCTGACGGGCCATCAGAACCGAGCTGCAGAGCCGCCAGAAGGCCATGATGCTGGGCCCCAGGAAAAGCCCGGTGCAGTGCTTGTTGGCGGGCAGCTACGGCCACCCCGCGCTGTGCCGTCCCTGCGTTCTGCATCATGGGTGTAATGAATTCCTACCCAGCCCGGGCTCTGCTGGGTTGTCAAAACGCGCGCTCTGTAATTTAACAACCATCAAAGCCCGGGACTTCTCCCCGTTTGACGGCAGGCGCTCAAAACCATTTGAAATCTAAAAACAAAATAGCTATGCTGCCTGCCTCCCTTCAGGATTCAGAGCCCACTCATCTGCCTCAACTCTGGTGAGAAACCTATTATATCAGCTGACAGCGATACACTTAAGGGTGAGGAGGAATGTATTTACTTACACACAATTTGCTCCATTTTTTTTCCTTTTGTAAGCAGGAAAAGCATTACAATGTGCATTACTGCAAGAGAATAACATTTCTGGCAAATACTTTAAGTGAACACTTCAAAATCCACCCTAATTTATATCCTTACAATATCTTTAGAATATATATCGCTATTTATGTCGTTAAAAGATAAAACCACACCAGCAAACGCACACCAAAAGAAAAATATATGTATGCATACATGCACACGCAGATCAAAATGCTTCAGAAATATGCTGTCTTTCTTAGTAGATCAGGCACCATGGTATGGAAAATGTAAAGACATCACAGCATTTCCCTGTGCTCAGAACAAAAAATAAATTGAAATGTTTACGTGTAAATACCACTCCGTATTATGATACCGCTGAAAAGTCTCACAAAGGCTGTGGGACCCGACGTCTCACAGGGCAGTATGTAAATACTATGAAATAAGATACAAAGGCGTTTACATGCTATGATGAAATTCTGATGTTTCAAAGGCAATGGGACTTCTGCCACTGGCTCAGTGGGGCCAGATTTCATACCATACATACAGGGAACACTACACTTAGGTCTCCTCAGTGGCAGGCTGGCCATGCCTCAAGGAACTAACGACACGCTATCGTCTCCCATCGTAATTCACACAGGTAGAGGGAACCCATTATCCCAGAAGACTACCCGAGCATAGCAGGTTAACACTGGCTATATTAATGCTAACGACTTAGTTAATGAAATCCCACAAAGTGGGATGCTTGTGGAAGTAAGATGGTAATGATACCACAGGGTCTGTGCCCTCAGTTCCCCTCTGGCCATCGACTAACTGTAGTGCGTTCGGTGAGGACTCGGGAGAATACCTCTTGATGGATATCTAAGAGGTTGGATTTATTATGACAGGGCATTACTATCAATAGCGATTCACTTTAATTCATTGCCTCACAATAAATGTCTTATCTGAGGCATAAAAGCATACACTGAAAACACTCAAGTGAAAAACAATTCCATTTGTATCTCCTATTCAAGGTATTTTTTTCTCTGGATCCTTATTCTCACTTACCAAGGACATTTGCATGAAAATAAGTTCTTACTCATAAGAGCTCACCTGCTGCTTGCTGTTTGGGAGCTGTAAGCTCCCTGTTGTTCGCTGTTGCAATCATTTCTACAGCAGTGATCTGGTATAACACAAAGGATTAAGACTCTGCAAGTGGGGCACTATCCACAGTCCGCTGAAGTCAATGGAAACTCTTACCTATGACTCAAAAGAGTTTTTATGGGGCCTTTGAAGCCTGGCGGTGCTGAGCCTTCACTAATAGCATGTGCTGTAAAAAGGGTTCTGCTTCCAAGATGCTGGTCCTGCCCAAGATCTCCTTTTTTGTAATAGCCTGAATGATGTCTTCTTTCAGAATCTTCATTAAAGCTTAAACATCTGTAGTTCAAAAGTTTTTTATTCCCACTTTAATTTGCTCTAGGTCTTGATAACTTCATCTTTTGGTCATTTTTGCGTGAGAGTAAAAACTTTAGACTGTGTAATAAATGGATCATCAAATCAATAGAACCAGACCCAAGAGATTAGGCTTCGACAGACCGAAGGAAAGAAACAATTACTAGAGCTTCTTCCCATTCTTACTACCAGACAGAAGACACAAAAATGCAATTTTGTACCAAAAGCCACAAAACTGTCACCCAGAGCATTCACACTGAAGGACTCTGCTCCTCTCATCTGCCAAGACGTGCTTGCTCTCCCAGTTTTCATTCCCTTTCTTTTCATTTACCTCTTTCTCACTCCTTTTTGATGACTAAAAGTAAATAGGAATGGAATGACGGACGTGATGGTCAGCAGAGGCAGGGCTCTAGACCCAAAGACTGAGAAGCTCCCTTCCCAAACTGTGTTTACTCACAAAACCCTGCCACTGCGCCAGGAGAGGGTTCGGCAGTTTTGCTGATGAGTCTGGAACCTGCAGTGAACATCACATTTGCCAAGGAGATACGATAACTGTCATAGCACCTAGTCCTTTAAACCCCCAGGGGCATCACCAGTTAGTTCGTTAGAGGCACAGAGATAGCAGCACTATCAACTGGTGTGGTGCAAACATTTATAAGCCTGATCCTGCAAGGCACTGAGCAACACTCATCTGTGCTCAGCATCTCAGGAGCATGGGCAGCACAGGAGTTCGCCTTGCTCTTTTGGGGAATAAGACCTCAGAATTTCACACTGGTTTGTTGCAGTCTTCGAGCAATTAACTCCAAGGGAACAGCCCTTTGCAAGCAATAAGGGGGTTTTAGCTGT